GATGAGAAAGGAGGAGGGTTGGGCGCGGGGCTAGCAACTCCACCCCGTAAAAAACAACCTGCTACAAGTAACTGCAACAACACCTTCCGTTGGCGAGGTGTTGTTGCGGCCCGATGCTCCACTGGGAGTTTACAGGAATAATAATAAAAAAAAAGAATTATAGGTATATTAAACGGCTAGCCAACGCTAATTACAGTAATACGATTTTGTAAGAAGAGACTAGGAAAATACCAAAAAAAAGGAAGAAGTTAGGAATGCAAAAATATCATATTTTAAGAAATTAATTTAAAATAACTGTAATTACACCAAATAAACATGGACTATATCGAAAAAGCTAATAGGTAATTCGTCTAGTGACTAGATTTTTTCTGGTTCCTTTTTTATGTTTTATAAAGATGGTGTTAATATTAAACTAAAAAAAAAGAAATATTAAATCACAAATTCATTTAATGGCTATTACTCTACTGTTGATTGAAAACTAGCTTTGGAGCTTTGGTCCGGCAGAACGGACAGCAGCCAGACCAATATTTTGTCACAGTAACTGTAGGGCTTTCTAAACTTTAACTTGTAGTTCAAAAATAGTTTCTAGGTAAATAGATAGACTTATAGTAGTATATATGAATCAGTATAACAATGCATAATAAATTACATGCGTAATCTGCAAGTGTACATGCTTGTGCATGTTTATAGCTATAGTAGTGGGTATAAGTGCCAGTGAGCACCTATTTTTGTGAATCATAAAGAAGTACTTACAAATGATTAATACTTCAAATAAAGTATAGTAAAATTAGCACAAAATTCATTCTCAGAGCACCTATTTTTTGTGAATCATAAAGAAGTGCTTACAAATGATTAATACTTTCAATAAAGTATTGTAAAATTAGCACAAAATTCATTCTCAGAGCACCTATTTTTTGTGAATCATAAAGAAGTGCTTACAAATGATTAATACTTTCAATAAAGAGCACCTAGTTTTCACTGACACTGGCATGCTTTTTACACTATTATGTTTTGCCTGACCAATACAAAAATGTTTCCTCCACCCTTGGGGTAACCCTATGTACATGGGCGTGGGTCAAAGTGCGTATACCACGATGTTTTACACAGAGCCATTCAACATGATACTAGTAACAAAAAATTTAATTATAAAATTGTGGGGATGGAAAAATATTAGAAACTAGAGAGAATGGAAGGAAAACCTACATTACCCATTCCTGCATTCAACCACTCATACACAGCGCCCACAGGGTGGATAGATATATACGTTAGGTGGTGGAATGCACGAATGGATAATGCAAATTCCCCCCCCCCCCCAATCCCAAATGCTTTCTAGTTTCTAATCTTTTTCTATCCCAACAATTTTATAATAAAATTTTTTATTTCTAGTTTCTGCACTTTTTACGAGTTTGAAGTCTTGGCTTCCAGTGGCGCTGTAACTTCTAGGTGGAAGGCATTATTTCACCAACTTATTCAGTTCTGTTCTATAGGGAGCCATAATATAATCTATAGACGTTACTTCTTGAAGCAAGATAAATAAATCATGACCAGGATATTGCGCGACGCGGTAGATTATCTAGTTCCATATAATGCACATAATGGCTTACTGATCAGAGACCGTGATTAGTACTTTAGGCTGTAACTAACCTATCGTGGATCACTTGCTGCTCTAGGTATGAAAAGGCACATCCTAGGGAATAGTGAAATGTTTTAGTGTACAGGCTGTTCGTAGGCACGCTGTGATTTACGAGTTAGAAAGAAGAAAAATCGATGTTTTTGTGGCCTCTTTTCTGGACGTCAAGGAAGGTAAGCCGAACTGTAGAGGCAGTTTTGTACTTGATTACTGAAGGGCTTTCTGTCTCTATCCCTTCAGCTGGGTTTTGCCGAGGTCCTGACGTACGTGCAAAACCATACACATCCCAACATACCGCTCCCCCTGATTATGTATTTGATGTTAGAATTATCAACTATTAATTTTCCCCTACAATGTTGATTTAGAGACAGTTCTTGGTAGAGGAGAGTAAATACCAGATACAATATACAAGGATACTGAAAAAACAAACACAAAACTGCAGTTGTGCATTTATGAGAAGAGGTTCCCAACCAGAAGTATTGGCAACCCCTGAGAATGCGAAATGAGGATCCGCGAGGTGCGCGGAAGAGACCTATACAAGGTCCTTTTCCCCCCAGATGTCGCCAAGAGGAAATGTCTAATGCATACTTTTTACGGGAGGGGGTGCGAGGGCCACAAAAGGTTGGGAACCACTGTTCTAGAGGTTATGTAAATACACTCCGACTTTCCAGAGTCTGAGTCAGAATGATGTCGGTAAATCACAGACATATCTTGAGTACAAATACATTTGTAACACATCTGATTTTTTGTGTAAAACAGATCTGTACCTTTGACCGAAAACTTGCCACATTTCATGTAGATACACATAGTAAAATTTTCAGGATCAATATAAATGTAATAGTACTGTCTGTTGTATGTCCGTGTCACTACTTCGCAGGGTGTGAATGGATCTTCACTAGAATTAGTATGGACGTTCATTAGGTTCATGCGAAGGTACATACAAATTTCTAGTTTTGTATCTTACGTTCTTACGGTTTTTACCACTACTTCGCCTGCTATTGATGGATCTTCACCAAATTTGGCACAAAGGTTTGTTGGATCTATGCGGAGATACATTTTGTGTTTTACTGTTTTTATGGGCGTTTTCTACAATTACGTAGGTAAGCAGTTTTTCATGTCCTGAGATAACCTTTCATTAATCATGAATTTATATAACTTCCGTCTAGGGGACGGATACTCCAGCTAGTTAGAAATAACAGATTAGAGAAACGGGTAGTTTCTGATTATTTAGTGATTGCTAAAATAATACCTATATATAAATATGGCGATCTACAAAAGATGGGAAAATTATAGGGAAATTTCATTAATAATTATTAAAAATAAAGAATATAAAAAATTGTATTAACTAGGTTAGTTAGCACAAAACTACATAATGGGCTATTTGTGCTGTGCTCACCACGAATACCAAAATCTGACTTTTACGTTGATAAAATCTCGAATATATCGCTGAGGCTAATCAATTTTACAAATTCAAGTTTAGCCAATAATTTATACAATGGATAATGAAGTTTTAATATATTTCGTTATAAATAATCGAATTTATAATCTAGTATACGTTTGGCAGAACTGTATTATGTATATGCAAGGTTAATTACAGTGATTAAATAATCAACAATATGAGATGCTGAGGTCCGATGTTTTAGAGACAACCATCAAATGAAATTGAATCCTCAACAACAATATACTTATATTGAATCTAATTGTCTAAGATTGTAGGATTTAAATCTGGTCATTGTTGAGTTTATGTGAGTTATGCATAGGGTCACATGATAATAGAAATGGTTAGTTTATGATATGTGTTTTCCTCTCAATTGCCTGAATGTATATGTACACTGAGTGGTCACAAGTAAATAGACACCTAATTTTTCGTCATTTAACTGATTTATGCTAACACAGAGCACTATATACATGAAAATGGTTCGCCCACTAATTATCTTGTGCTACAACATGTCTAGAACTCAAGGTTCTCTCGAATTGTCA